CCAAATACAGGACCATTCTGGAAGAAAACCTGTTTGAGTCTGCAAGAGACCTGAGACTGGGACGGAGATTTATCTTCCAACAAGACAATGATCCAAAACATAAAGTCAAATCTACAATGGAATGGTTCACAAATAAACGTATCCAGGTGTAGGAAAGACCAAGTCAAAGTCCAGACCTGAATCCAATCGAGAATCTGTGGAAAGAGCTGAAGACTGCTGTTCACAAACGCTCTCCATCCAACCTCACTGAGCTCGAGCTGTTTTGCAGAAAGAATGGGCAGAATTTCAGTCTCTCCATGTTCAAAACTGATGGAGACAAACCTCAAGAGACTTGCAGCTGGAATTGCAGCAAAAAGCGGTGCTACAAATTATTAACGCAAGGGGGACGAATAATATTGCACGCCCCACTTTTCAGTTTTTTATTTGTTAAAAAAGTTTGACACATCCAATAAATTTCAATCCACTCACGATTGTGTCCCACTTGTTGTTGATTCTTCACAAAAAATTAAAATTTTATATCTTTGTTTGAAGCCTGAAATGTGGCAAAAGGTTGAAAAGTTCAAGGTGGCCGAATACTTTCGCAAGGCACTGTATTTTTGATCAGGACATGTCTTTTATCCCCCACATTAAAAATTTTACTAGAACTGCCTTCTTCCACCTGCGTAATATCACTAAAATTAGAAACATCTTATCTAAAAATGATGCAGAAAAACTGGTTCATGCATTTGTCACGTCTAGACTGGACTATTGCAATGGTTTATTATCTGGGTGTCCAAATACTTCTTTAAAATGTCTTCAGCTGATCCAAAATGTTGCTGCTAGAGTCTTAACCGGAGTTAGTAGGAGAGATCATATCTCTCCAGTTTTAGTTTCTCTCCATTGGCTCCCTGTCAAGTCCAGAATAGAATTCAAAATCTTACTTCTAACCTACAAAGCTCTCAACGACCTAGCTCCATCTTATATTACAGATCTTATTGTTCCATATTTTCCTAACAGAGTACTTCGCTCTCAGACTGCAGGTTTACTTGTGGTTCCTAGAATTTACAAAATCAGAATGGGAGGCAGATCTTTCAGTCATCAGGCTCCTCTCTTGTGGAACCATCTCTGTCTGTGAGTCTGAAACATTATCCAGTTTTAAAACAAGGCTTAAGACTTTCCTTTTTGCTAAATCCTATAGTTAGAGTCGGCTTGGGTTTCCTGAGCTGTCCCTTAGTTATGCTGCTATAGGCTTAGACTGCTGGAGGACAAACTGACCACACTTTTCACTCTGCTGCTGTCTTTACGTACTCTGCTCAACCTGTTATGTATTTGTAATTATTTTTTCTATCCTTAACATATTTGTTTTTTTTGTCTTTCAGATACACCTGGACCTATACCTGGATCTACCATTCTGTGTTCGTCTGTCTCTCCTTCCTGTCCTCTCAACCAGTCGGTCAAAGCAGATGGCTGCTTGTCCTGAGCCTGGTTCTGCTGGAAGTTTCTTCCTGTTAAAAAGGAGTTTTTCCTTTCCACTGTTGCCACTGTGCTTGCTCAGGATGGGAGACTGCAATGAAGCCAAGATTCAACTTTTCTGCTGGATTCCTTAGATAGAGAACTTTACTAATGGGCTTTTATGTATGTGAATGTTCCTGTAAAGTGCCCTGAGACAACTTTGTTGTGCTTTGGCGCTACATAAATAAACTGAATTGAACTGAATTGAATCCCCTGCTGTGGAGCATATGCTCTGCGGAGGGTAATTTCCCCCCTCTGGTCTGTCTGGGTGTGTTAAAGAGTAAAATAAAATCCCGAGGCCCCATCCCTCAAGCGAGATATGTATTGGGCAGTTATGTGTGGGTTTAACAAAGTTAAATATTTTTGGTGGCAGGAAGCTCGTTTGCCCATCAAATAAATAACATAAATTAGCCATAGCATTGTATAAGTGTGTGTTATATTCAAAGCCTGTGAAAAAAAAAAGTAGCGGCTTATAGACCGGAAAGTATGGAATTATTTGGAAAGTTCTGACATCATGTCCTCTATACTAAAAAGGAGAGGGACCATCCAGACTGTTATCAGTGCAAAGTTCCCGAGGGGGGGGGGGGGGGGGCGGGTTGTGTCTAAGATTGTCATCAGTGTATGTTTCCATACAATGGTGAAATTAGTTCTTTGTATTTAACCCATGACTCGTGAGCTACACCCAGGTGGAGCAGACGGTAGCTATTTGAGTACCCAGGAAGCAATTAGGGAACAGGTGTCCTGCTCAGAAACACCACAACATGGGGAATGGCTGCAAGTCAAACCTGCGACTTTCTGGTTATGGAGGTGCATTAGTGCCTCTGGCATGGGCAGCTAAGGCACAATAGGATCTTACAAGACCTGGCCCTGTAGATAAGGAGCTTTACACATCTGGAATGGCACCATCAATGCAATATCTTTGTCTACAACTACATACTGCATCTGTTACAACTTCTTTAGAAGAGTCCAGGTTCTAAACTGACCTGACTGCAGTCCAGAGCTCTCACCTATTGAAAACAACTGATGCATCATGAAACCAAAGATCCATGAAGCAAGAGGACTGCTGAACAGCTATAATCCAAATATTGGAGAAGAATGGAACAACATTCCCCTCTAAAAACTCCAGCTCTCCTCGCTCCCGAACATTCACAGACGGTTGTAAAAAGATGTTTTAAAGTGGGAAACATGGTCCTGGGCAAATGTTTTCAGACGTTCAGTTTTTCAGACATCAAATAAAAAAATTGTACAATTTAAATAAATAAAAAGAATAATAATAATA